ACGACTGCTACTACCACTACTAGTACTACTACTTACTAGTACTACTACTAGTACTACTGCTACCACTACTATTATTGCTACTACTACTACTACTACTACTACTACTACGTACTACGTACTACTACTACTACTACTACTACTACTACTACTACTACGTACTACGTACTACGTACTACGTACTACGTACAACGTACTACGCACTACGTACTACTACTACTACGACTACTACTACTACTACTACTACTACTACTACTTCCTACTCTACTACTACTACTACTACTACTACTACTACTACTACTACTACTACTACTACTACTACTCTACTACCAACTACTACTACTGCTGTTGGTACTGGAATCACATCCTACGACGCCTAGCCTTTCCACTGCCATGCGGAAGCACATTTTAGTCTGATGGATGGTTACAGGATCGACCTTACCGCATGATCACTACCCCTGTCCTGCTTCAACTCTAACTCCCTCCGCCACTAACACCATCACACTGACTATGCCACCACTACCGGGACCACTGCGATAGGGACTAGCACGACGATTGCGACGAAAATACTAGCACATCATGAAGATGTGTGTTGCTGTTCATGTAGCTTCTTACTGCCATTGCTTCCCCACCCCACCGCATGACTTTACCATTTGTGCATCAAAGGCACATGTGCGGCAGTGCTAACTCAAGCACCTCGAAGCAGATGTTCTCGCCTTCGCCTGGGCGTGGACGGCTCATCCAGGCTGACTTGTCGCCAGTAGCGCCGGCTAATATGAGGACGAATTATTAAAACGAGGTCGTACTACATTTTGTTGGGCTCTAGAGGGGTACTCTTGCTAGTCATTCTGACAGATCCCTACCTCGTTCCTGAATTCTACGTCCTTAACCCACAGTGGTGTCAAACCTAGACAAGGGGATTGCTTGAATGATTACCAGGACTATACACGACCACACATCTGTGGAAGTAGTGTAGCAACCCGGCTTGTCTCACTATACTCAGCGCTACGAGGAATCAAGTATCCTAAACCCTAAACCCTAAACCCTAAACCCTAAAGCCCCAAAGATCCATAGATGTCAGTGAACAGTCTGCGCACCAAACCATTATCAAATTGTCTAAACCTTACTTAAGCAAAGGTGTTTACATCTTCTGCGGAAAATCGCCCCCTCCACCAATTCAACATCAAAGTCTTGGAAACCTTTATCGCAATCTGAAGCCTGCAGAACCGTCGCTGCTTCAGTAGCCTTCGGACGTGTTGCTTCCTAGGGACAATATGCAGAAATCGGTGTGTTAGCCTGTTCTTCTGGTATAGCAGGGTTTAAGGTCCGAGGTTTGGGGAAACCGAAATACATATCAGATGAGATTCGAAAAGATCTGTAAATATCTGCGCTGCATATTGAGGGAACTGTACTCTGAACCTAGACACCCTGTGCACTGGGGTGCCTGCGATCGCAGTCCTGAGCTGGAAGTGAAGGTCAAGGGTTCGGGGTTGGGGGCTAAGCTAAACCCCAAATCCCAGACCCTAAGACCCTGAACCCGAAAACCCTAACCCCTAAATCCCAAACCCTAAAACCCTAAACCCTAAAACCCTAAACCCTAAAACCCTAAACCCTAAACCTGAACCCCTAGGCCCTGAACCCTAAACTCTAAATAGAACTTTATGGTTCTTGGGCTTATAAAGGTATCAAGGCTGGATTCTCGAAAGCAGAGGCTTCTCACGGTGTTGCTTCCATGCTGGCGACGCTGTCCTGCTACATTTACAAGGAGACGTGAAGCTTGGTGTGTAGGGTTTAGGGGCTTAGAGTTTAGGGTTTAGGATTTAGGGGTTTGGGGTTTAGGGGTTTAGGGTTTAGGGTTTCGGGTTGCGGGGGAAGTGGGCAGAGGACACGATCCTCCACAAGAACGACATATTCTCGAAGGTCCCGACCTGTGGTAGCGGGGAAACCGAAGCCGCGTAATTCGCTTGCCGCACGCGCGCGCGCGCGAAACATGATACATGACACACAATAAACAGCGCTCTTGTCGAGGGTGGGAGGCTAAACGACCTCAAATAAAAGTGCTTGCATGCGACCTTTCGCCGCGTGGAGGAAATTGTCTGAACCATATTTTAAAAATAACAACAACCAAACTTAAAAAAAACTAGCGCAACTTGGGTTGAGACTGCTTGGCGTTGAGAGTAACTCTAAACCGTAAGCCCTAAATCCTAAACCGTAAACCTCAAACCCTAAGCCAGACACTAAGGTCGAGGGCGCTGTGTTCCGTAGGGGGCTTTATCGCCAAGACAAAACGCGAAAGCCCGGGGATCGGCACTTGGGTTTAAGGTTTAGGGTTTAGGGTTCAAGATTTATGGTTGTGGGTTTGGGTCTAGCTTGGATTTCGAATTCGGGCAGCCTCGGCCTCAATGTTTCCCCTAAACCCTAAACCCTAAACCCTAAACCCTAAACCCTAAACCCTAAACCCTACCTCCTGCATCCAAGCTGCGAGCCAGAGCACCAAGATGTCGCAGTCTTTGGCCTCAGCCGCTATGTGCCTGGCAATCTCCCTCTTGGCCCTCAGAAACGACAAAAGGTTTAGAACCCTAAACCCCTAAACCCC